AGCCAGTTATGAGAAGACTCCAAGCAAAGAGTCCAACTAAAACCTGCTTGAAAAAACCTCCACTTGCATCATTCTCATTTCATCTAATATGTACAAAGCCTCTGCTCTCTACTTAGGGCAAGGAAACACATGGACTCTCCTTGACCTTGAGAAACAACACTGCCTGGGGGAAAAACACAGAGTGAAAGGAAGGGAGGCTATTTGGAGTTCTGGCTTTGCCACTGAATGGACACATAACTGTGAACCTGAGCCTTACCCAATGGCAATATAGGTTTGACATTATACCAGCTGTCTAATACCAGTTTGAAGATAAACTATGATAAAAACACTTTGAAATTTTAAAAATTTATCATGTTCATGGTAACATATAATAAATTGTATTAATGAAACAAGTAGAAAATAGAAGAAAACATAGAAGTATACTATGTATCATAATATCGTTCCAATTTTATTATATGTGCTGCCGAAGCGAGCACCTATGTATCATAATAAATAATGCAGAATTTCTCAAAGTTAACTCAACACAATAATGATTTTGTGAGTTTTACAGATGTTCTTCAAAAAATAAGATTCCTTTGGCCAAGTAATCATAAGAAACACAGGGCTTAGATTTTTGCTGTAATTAGTACTACCGTTACCAGTAGCTAATATTTAGTAGCTAACATTGCCAGCTGTAGTACTAGCCCTTTCTATGGAACATCTCATTAAAGTCACAACATATAAGACAGGTATTATCATTATCACCATTTATATAAGGGGAAACTGTGGCAGCAAACATGTAACTGTTCCAAGGTCATACAGTACTTAGTAGCAGAAACAGGATTCAAATTCAGAGTCCCTGTAGTTAGCCACCATACATACTACCATCCACTTTCTTAAATAATTTTTGAAATTAATTCTAAATCTCTCAGAGGGAGACAAAACATGTGTCCCTCCTGAATTAGTTTTTTCTTTTTTTTTTTTTTTGAGCAACTTGTACCACTTCAGGAAATGGTACAATACAGAAAATCTAAGAAAATATTTTCATTTCATTTTTCTGAAATTATTCTTCCTAGGCTTGGGTTATAGCAACTTGTAGCACTTCAGGAAATGGTACAATACAGAAAACCTAAGAAAATATTTTCACTTCATTCTTCTGAAATTATTCTTCCTAAGCTTGGGTTATACCAACTTGTAGCATTCAGGAAATGGTACAATACAGAAAATGTAAGAAAATATTTTCATTTCATTCTTCTGAAATTACTCTTCCTAGGCTTGTGTTATAATTCAGTCCTAAGCATTTCCATTATAATCTGTTTTACACAAATTAGTAATCCATGAAATGCTAACTCATATTACCTGCTTAGATCCCTACCATAACACAGGGAACAGCTCAGCAGGAGACAACACACAGAGAATTTCTAGACTTAAAGGATGAAAATGTGACCGACAATTAAATAATATGTCCCTTGAAATTCACAACATCTCAACATCAAGTAGAATGAGTAAGACCAGAATATTACACTTTTGTTATGCATTTATTAGCTTTATTATACTTTGCAAGAAAAAAATTAAATAGGCCCATTAAGCAGTTTTTGTTACCAATGAGTGGATTTTCCAATATTTTCTTCATTTAGTTTATATAGCATAGCCTGTAATATAATCATTTCTTTTGGAAAAAAAAAATCACAATTTTATAGTCAACGCCATTAAGGTAAACTTCGTGTAGGAGAAAGTCAATCATAACACATCAAACAGTTTTATAGAGACTTTAGCAAAGTGGATTCTCATTTCTTGTTGATTATACCATTTCTTTGTGCTGAACTAAAAGCCACGGATATAAGAGCAACACAAACTGAAGGCCAGGCGGAAATGAAGGCCAATAATCAATACAAGTAGTTATGCATTGTGTAGCTTCACATTCTCTCTTAAGAATCATTTGAGCAATAAGGCAAATGAAATGTCTTCTTTTTATAAGGAATATAGTAAAGTGCTAAAATGATCATGATAACTTCCTATCATCTTCCATAAATAAGCACTGTCAAAAACATGTTAGCTCTTACAACAGACATACTGAGTGTTAGCAGTGGTAGTGAAAAGAACTGTCAGTAAGTTGTTAACATCACTACAGAGTTCTAGAGAATGAAAGAACATGTGCTAAGAACATGAGGGAGGATGTTCTCTTGGACATTGTGGCCCAAATAAAAATAGTTCTCGCCACGCTTCTTCGCTGAAAAAATACTAATTGGGCAAATGAGTAATTTAGTTTAGTGGGTACAGGGTTTCAGATTTGCAAGATGGAAAGAGCTCTGGAGATGGACAGTACTAATGATTGCAAAACAATGTGAATGTACTCATGCCACTGAAAGAGAGACTTAAAAATGGTTACAATGGTAAATTTATGTTATTTATATTTTATCACATTAAAAATAATAAAAAAGAACATTAACATAAATTTATGTGGCAATTTTTCCTGGGTAGATAAGCATTTTTTTTTAAAGATTTATTTATTTATTTATTTATGCAAGCACTGGGTACAGTCAGAAGCGCAGGAGGGTGAGAGAATTCACTAGAGCCAGAGCAGGGACAGAGCAGGCAGAAGGACCGAAGTACACTGCTGAGGGGAGCAGTGGGAGCGGCAGGAGAGGTCTGCACGCCATGTGGGACCCACCTCCGGTGGCCAGGGAGCAGCCGGGGATTGAACCGGTGCTGCAGAGGCTGTGGGCATCTTTGCAACCCAGGGTTCAACTGCTGTGCCACCGGGGAGGCCCTAGATAAGCATTTATTTCCATTTCTCTGATTACTCTGTCCCTTCTCCATAAACCTATGTTTTAAAATAAAGGATTAAAATTTTAACATCTTGCATATTATTTTTAATAAACACTATGCACTGGGATAATAACTGGGTGTGTCTTCTGCTTTCTCCCTTTTGGAATAAGGGAGGACTATAAGTTTACAATAAATCTTCAATTTAAAAAAATAACAAACATGCTCTTTGAGAGCTAAACATTTGGTAAAACAGCACAAATAAGAAGTAGGTTAGGAGTCCAAAGAAACACTTTTAGATTCCATTTGAAACCAACTAAAGGAATCTAAAGAGTTGCCAGAAATCTTTTCTGCTTTATTATCTCTAGCTATCAGCATAAAAGCATTAAGAATAAGAAAGGTTGAGGTCTTGAAAACTGCTCCCTCCAGGGAACTCAAGAGAAGCAAATTGGAGTGTACATTTTCCTCCTTCTTTCTTGCTAAGGGTAGCTGAACCCAAGACCTTCAGAGCAAGTTAAAAATTCAAGTCAGGGCCTCCCTGGTGGCACAAGGGGTTAAGCACCGCACTATGAAGATAACATAAGCCTCTGCAGCACAAGTTTGATCACTGGCTTGCCAGGGAGCAACCTACCTGGTGCAGCAGACCTCTCCTGTCTCGCCCGCTGCTCCCCTCAACAGTGTATTTCAGTCAGTCTGCCTGTTCTGTTCCCTGCTCTGTCTCTGGTGAATCGTCTCACCCCCTGCATCTCTGGCCTATACCCCAGCTCTTGTATGCATAAATAAATAAATTTAAAAAAATTTCAAGTCAGAGCAGAGTAAGGGGGAGAAGACTAAGATGAAGGGATACTATTTATGCTGTACTGGGGGTAGCCTGATAAGGAATGAGAATATGATCCAGAGGTAACAGTAGCCTCAAACTCAGACATATTAGGCATCAAATATTTGAAAAGCAGGGTCTCAAGAATCATGTAAGAAATACTATTATTTAATTCTCTGAATTATCATAACAGAAGCACATAACTTTCAGATCAACTATTCACAGTACTGTTACATATAGGAAAAAAATAATTCAAATGTATGAACATTTGCTCTTGAAGGACTATACTCAAGAGAAAGGATTCACCTTTCTCTTCACCTACTGGTTCGACCTATAGAGAGGACTGAAGCCCTGAATGCATGACTGGATCAGATGACTTGAAGGAGCTTTTAACCCTGAGATATCTAATCCTACGTCAAAGCTGCATCTACATATGGAGGTTGTTCTGGGATTTTAGGACATGACCCTTCATGGTCATAGCATAAATAACAAGGCAATTTTTAATCTGTATTCATATAGTTAAAAAACAAAAGAACTTAACAAAAGCAACCAATTAGGAAATAAATTATTTCACAACTTTGAAAATATGTATTAATATCAATGTTATAATATCTAAGGTAAAAGCACAATCATAATGTGATGCAGGTTTAGTGTATATATGGAAAACAGCTCTCTGGAGGAAAGCTTTATTACTCCCTCAGGGCTTTCTTACAGAGTATGGATTTTTTAATTCCTAGTGGAATATTTTTCATACACCATTGCAGACTATTAAGTACCAGATATTACATTATGTAGTTTAAACTTTGCACTACTGCATGAGAAAGACTTCCCTGTCGAGAGAACCATTTTTTACGGTTAGCATTTTTTAATATGAAAATGAACACTCCTTTAGGGTAGGATCATTGCAACTGGAATTTGGGAGAATTTTATAACTTAACATATTCATCAATGTGTAGAAATTCTCTCAGGGGAGTAGGGTGAGGAGAGAAGGAAATACAACAGGAAGAAGGCTTTTTAATAACTTCGAGTGTCAACACAGGGCAAAGCAATGGTATTTATAAGGCTTGTCTTCCACTGGGCATATCTGTAAACAGGCAGGGGACTAGCACAGGGTGCTAGCAACTTAAAAAAATAATGGTGTTAAAGTGTGAAGGAAAAAAATGCATTAAACTTCAGGCCAGTTAAAGGTATACTTGCTAATGGCGGACTATTAACTGCTTACCCAGGAGAGATGCAGACTCAGAAATATTAAAAAGGCAATATAAATGCACTTTTCCAAGCAATTCCTGAGAAAATAGATGTCTTGTAGAATTCAGGAGTCAAATGCAGAAATAAAAATCTAAGAGCTCATGGTCATGTAAAAATCTTTGCCACAGAGAATTTGGATACCCACATCTGGCAAAGTGGATAGAAAGTTTAAGCAAAATTGACTACTTACTTGTAGACTGTGCCTCCGTTGCCGTGACCAAGGGTGTCTCGGTATCGTATGTCTTGTTCATTCATCTCCACAAGAAAGAAAGAAAAACAAAAAGGGTGTCATGCTGTGGATGGAAATGTCAAGGAAAAGCAACTCTGGGCCATAAACAACAAGCAGTCTGGGTCATTTCAAGTTCAGCTGCAAGAACGAGAAGATCAATACAACATTTGCTGTCCAATTTATAAAAGACGATACCAAGGGACAAAGTGATGGAAAGTTTAATGACAATTTGTTTGCCTGGGTCATTTCATTAAAGTTTGATAAAAGGTGTCAAAATGGAATGATATAACATAGCTCAAAAGGGTCAGGTCAGAGCTACCGATAAGAACACAGTCTCCAGCACTACATACAACCAATGCCAAATAGCACTGCACATAACCAAAGTCAAACTTGTGAAGACAACACACACACACACACACACACACAGAGTAATCTAATGCACGATCTGTAAATAAATCAGCCCCTGAAAACTCTCCAGGTGACCCTATAATTAACATTAAACAAACTAGCTTGATAATGTTAATGATTTTCCTAGAGTACACTAGCTTTTCTTTGGAAATGCCAAATAAGGAGACAGCAATAAATGGGTAGAAACCATATTATGCTAATGGAAAAGTGCCAAATCAATGCACTTAAACATACACATATACTCAAATATTGTAATTCATACAGGGAAAATATGTAAGTATGCGCTTCTTAAAACTAACGTCATTTTCATAACTTAGTACATAAAATAGCATGCACTTTCCCCCAGGTTCTCTAAATCTATTATACCACAAATATTACTTTCATTTGTATCATGAATAGTGAATTGTTTTAGTGCACACAAAATCTTTTAGTTTTAAATAACTCCCTAAATAATTATTTATCAAATGACTTTAAGACCAATCAGATTATATTTGATGCATTCAGTAATTTTCTACACACTGATCCAGTTGCTTAAAAATTAACTGCCAACTTTATTCACTAAGTGGATTTAATAAAGGTGTTATTTTCCATATAGCTAAAGCTTGGGGAGAGCCACAAGCCCTAAAAAAAAAAAAAAATCAATTTCCAGGGAATTGCATTGCATTACATGGGCAGAAAATGGATGGAGTTTTTAATTCAATATCACCTGGAAAAAAATAGTTTGCTTGCAGACCATTATAATAAAGCTTTAAATATTTTGTTCTACTCTAAACTTTCACCAATTGAATAAAGCAAGGTTTCATTTATCAAGGGAAATATTTTTCTTCTATATATTTCTGAGGTTGAGGCTTCAGAGAGCTGTGATAATTAGAAGCACAGTGCAGGTAACAGACCAGCTTCTTTTCCATGCTGGTTTGCTAATCCCTAAAAGAATATTGACAGATTAATGTGTAAAGACCAATTCAGCACCCAATTCAATTGTAGTGCAATCTGATTGTGCAATTTGCAATCAGCTAATTACTATATTTAGTGTCAGAGGAGAAATGTCAAACAAGTCAAAAAATTGGTGACTTTTTTCCTATTTGAGGGAAATTCTGTTTTTCACTACCTTTGTATTACTAATAGGAAAAAAAAAGTTCTTAACCTAAATGATATGGAATGAAGAAAACCTCATTATTCTGTACCAAACGATAAATTTTAAAATAGAATAAGAAAAACAGCACATAAAGTAACTTGGAATGCTAAATTAACAGAACTGCTACTGGGTTTACTTTGAAAAGTGAGCACAAAGGATACTTACGTAAACAGCAGTATCTATTGGCAGGTACAAATAAGCTAATTCCTTTATAACATTATTTAGGTAGTCTAAACCTGACTCTAACAACCTAATTTGCACCATTATCTTGCCTAGCAGGCTACACCCTGATGATGGCTTCCTGAAGTAAATTTCTAGGACAGAGAATATCACTCAAGTCCACAAATTCTGTATTAGAGGCACTGGGATTTAAGGGTAAGCAGGATGAAGCTATGAAGTATATACAGAATCTAGACTCTGCAGAGGCCACAATCTATGACTGTACTCCCCCTACCTTCATCTCAGCCACTCCATCAATGCCGTCCAGGTAAAAGGACCATCAGTTTCTTATCAGAAAAATATACACACCAAGACATATTGATATTGTAAATTTCAATACACTGGGATAGACCTTGAACTTTGGAGGGGGCTTGATTTTGTGGTATTAGCATTTAAAGAAGGGAAAGGAATAGGTATGGTATGTCTTTCAGCAGGCCCCATCATTATGATACCAAAGTCATAATCATTTTATCTCTAATAGCCACCAGGTACAAAGAGAAGTGGAATAGACACCTACCCAGCATTCCCAGCACCTCACCTAACTAGGAGTGATGGGTATCCCACTCAACACAGGCTTTAAGTTCCAGGGCAGGAAGAGGGGAATGTCACCTGCTGTATAAGCAGGCACATCTGTGTAGTACTTCATAAACAAATTCAAGGATGGAAATTTGGAATCCCTCAGATAATAAGATTGTAAGAGACTCGTAAAGACAAAAATGGTTGTAAAGAACAAGTTCTAGAACCATGTCATTTAAAGAGATAGTATTGACAAAAAAATGTTTCAAGTGTTTCTACAATGTTTTAAAGTTTTATAGACCTTTGCCTGATAAGATTTTTATAATGAAAAAATACCAGATTGATTTTGCTAATCTGAAATTTCTAACCTTTTTTTTTTGTGTATGTGGGACCCTCGCCAGTGGCCGGGGAACGAACCGGCGCTGCAGAGGCTACAGACAGCCTTGCAGCCCAGCGTTCAACTGCTGCGCCACCAGGGGAGGCCCTGAATTTTCTAACTTTTATGTAGTATACAAATACTATTCATGTGAAAAAAAAAAAAAAGCTTGGAAAAAGAAAAACTACAAGGGCCAAGGTCATGAATTGGTTAAAACATTTTAAGAATTTCATAGCTATGATCACAATGGGTTATTTTACTTGATCTTACCTGTGAACAGTATAATTTAAGGAATCAACAAATACTCAATAAGATGTTTTTGCCTTTTTAGTATAGATGAGCATTTTTTTTTAAAGATTTATTTATTTATTTATACAAGCACTGGGTACAGTCAGAAGCATGGGAGGGTGAGAGAATTCACCAAAGCCAGAGCAGAGAACAGAACAGGCAGACTGACGAAGTACACTGCTGAGGGGAGCAGCGAGCGGCAGGAGAGGTCTGCGCGCCATGAGGGACCCTCATTGGTGGCCGGAGATCGAGCCGGAGATAGAACTGGCGTTGCAGAGACTGCGGGCAGCTTCGCAACCCAGCACTCAACCGCTGCACCACCGGGGAGGCCCAGATGAGCATTTTTAATTCAACTTTTCAAAATGAAGCACAGATTATTATAACACAAAGGTGGAATTTATAAGGCTACAGAATACATTTAAAATATTATAGTTGGGATCAAGTCTCAAAGGGTCAGGAATTTTACAGCATTTTGAGACCATTTAAGATTAATTCATTTAGGTCACATGAACTGGCCAATAACATCGAGTCAAGGCCAGAACTGGCCTTTCAGTACACTCCACTCAATGTCACATCTCAGCAGCAGATCTCCTGTGTAACGTGCAGGGAAGTCCTCTTCATCTATGGTCACTGGCCCACAAGAAGGCAAACAATCAAGTGAAGGGCACTCACAAGTGAAAAGCAATTTCATCCATTATGGTATTTGTTTTTTTTTTTTTTTTAATAGAGGCATGTTTTTATTTGTTTGTTTTGTTTATACAAGCACTGGGTACAGTCAGAAGCGAGGGAGGGTGAGAGAATTCACCAGAGCCAGAGCAGGGAGCAGAGCAGGCAGAGGACCGAAGTACACTGCTGAGGGGAGCAGCGGGCGGCAGGAGAGGTCTGCGCGCCATGTGGGACCCTCCTCAGGTGGCCGGGGAGCAGCCGGGGATTGAACTGGCGCCGCAGAGGCCGCGGGCAGCTTCGCAACCCAGCGCTCAACCGCTGCGCCACCGGGGAGGCCCCATTATGGTATTTGTTTTTATGAAGAGAAATATTTCAAAAATCACATAGCTCTTCAAATGGAAAGAAGAGGTAAAATAAAAATTTTATTTTGACTGAAACAAAACAAATAAAAGGTAGAAGAGATGTGAGGAAGGAGGACGAAAAAGCCCCAAGAGTTACAACTGCCAAGACCTGGAAGAGATGACAAGCAGTGGCTCTTCTCCTGCTGAAGAGGGGCAGGGCTGGGAGAGAAATGGAGATGTGACAAGCCACGAGCAGCAAGGTTATGCTTGTGTGGAAGAGAAGGGTGTCATATAGTTTGAACTTACATACACAGTCTCATTTATGTTTTGGTCTTCATATACCATCTAAGATGAACTGGAAGAATTCAAAAGTTTTATATATTGGTGATATACAGTTTTAAAGCTAATTTTGTAGTATAATGTGTACCTTTCTTCCCCACCCCCATTTTTTATCTAAACATAAAAAAGTTTTCTAAAGGCATTCGAAGTTTTTGAAATAACAGCCAAAGATACAGCAGGATCAGTATTGGTTCTAGATCTGTCTGCTCAATACATTTATACTTGATTTTTTAAAGATAAGAAAAGATTGTCAAAATCTAAGACACAAGAGGGAAAAACAACTCTAGAGATGGCATAGGTCAAAGTCACACTTTGGAATAACCGCACTTTTCTTTTTAATTCTGTAAATTGACCCCCAGGGCCATTTCTAATCAGTTTCAAATCAAGGGCCAATGTTAAAAAGATGATAAGGCACTAAAACTGAAGGGAGAAAAACATCCAGAAAATACATAAGTGGTACTGATTTATAGGTCTCAATAAAACATGCCAAAAATACCTTATGAGTTGCCTTTTTTCAGGCTGGGAAAAAAGGAATCCTACATCATAAAGCAATAGAACAGGAAAACAATGTCTCCATTCCAAGACTAAATGTTAAAACTTTCAAAAAGTGTTAGATTTAATATAATATTAATAAAATTAATGGGAAAATGAAATGTAATTCAATTATGGATCACCAAAGAAAATATTCTTTGTTTATTGTCTGCCTGGGTTAAGAAGAATCAGTATCTATCGCTTATAAATCATTAAAATAAAAACGCTCAATTAATCCTTATTTTGTATGTAAAGGTCTGACAGAAACTAGTCCTATCACCAGACCTTTGCTTCACAAATCGAAGCAATAATGGTTTCAGAGAGCAGTCACAGTCTATGAGCAGACAATTGGAGAGATTTAGTAAATCCCACTTTATAGAGCAGAGACTAATCGGAAAACACAAGCCAGTCAAATGTTTCTTATGAACTGTTGACACTATATCAATGCTGAATCAATTGATGGCATTTACTCTGAGTGACAGAAAAGAAATAAATATTTATATCACATAACCTATATCAATGAACCCAGGCAGAAAGCTATTTCTGACCTGTCAATATTTGATTATCTTGAAGAATCATGTCCCTTTCTTTTAATGATTAATATGAATTCCTTATTAAATCTAAGTGGAGGCTAGTGGAAAGGCAAATCATTATTAATGCTTGAGAGCATATAAACCACTAAAATAAAAAACTATGCTCAAGTGTTAAAGTATCGTTAAATGTGACTTACATCTTCCATATCAAGTGGTGTCAATGTTCAGTCCAGAAATTTATTGACCCCACAACTGTGCACAGTACCTCACCGTAATGAAATCTCACTCACGCTTTAGTTACCCTACAGCATTGAGGAATGGAGAAATTAGTAGAAGGTGGTATACTAAAGACTTCCAAAGGTAGAATGTTTTATTTCGTGTGCTTTGTGAATAAAGTAAATACAATAAAGGCTAATCCTTAAAAGAAAGAAAATGCCATACTGTTTAATGTGGGGGTTACTGCATTCCCATGGGAAAGTAATAAACAATCTCTAAGTGTCAAAAATGTTTGTTGTGGCAATCTTCCACCACAGAGAATGGCATAACTGAGACCACTAAGATATTTGATACTAGGTTTGTTATCAAAACGCTGGAAACATTTCAGAATGTTTTATTTATTTATTTATTTGCAGTGAAAATAAACTGATTTTCACTTTGTAAAGAGGAAGCGATGACAGGTTATTTTCCATTGCCTGGGTTGAACAAATGTAGTTAAAGCTTCTTAATTTATGTCAATTTTGAAATATATTTTCCAGCTGAAGAAAACAAGTGACTCATACATAAATTACAATTAGTAACTAGAATGCAAGCATGGTAAAGATACATAAATATCCTGGGCTCAATATTTCTGCTTTTAGTCAGGTACTTCACACAAGTTCTGAGTACACAGAATACTAGGGGTACATTTATACGGACCTCAATCTAAACCAACCATTGGCTGCTGTAAGTTAAATTATTAGATAAACATGATTTAAAATTTTGAGACCAACAAGAGCACACGTACAACACCAGATTCTCCTTAAGCTGTATATAGAATATTTCAGGACTAGAATTCACACACTCTGAACAACGATCAGATGTCTGAACCAGATAAGCTTACTTTTTCTAACTGTATTCAAGGGATTGTGTGCTAAATAAGCAAAGGTTCCAGAAGCACTACCATACACAGTCACCATTTTAAGGCACGCACATCTATTAGACCACAAAGTTACAGGTGATATTAAAGAACAAGCATGAGGACCTAGCTTTGTCTTCTTGACATGCTCCACTACAAGTACTTGATTCATGAAATGCCAATGAAGCTTGGAGAGGTCAGCGTGTGAAGGCACTGAATAAGCATCTGAGATAATTAAGATTTCAGCCTTCGAAACATGGACGGGAAGTGAACAGCAGTTAAGAAAATCAATAAGAGTCTTTTATTTGCAGTGACACAGATGTCTCAGTCAATAGAGCCTAATAGGCAAGCTTGATCGCAATGGACAGGCGACTGCCTCCAAGGCTATCAAAGGGCTTCCACTATAACAAACATTAAAACACATTTATGTTGCTATTGAAGAATCGAGGACCCTGTAGGTAGCTTAATTTACCAGTGTATGTTTAAAAGCACTATACTATTTCAGATGTGGTCATTTACTTGAACCAAAATTAGTGAGAAATAACTGGCCTGCAGGCCTGTTTGTAACCTCACTGGCTGAGTTAGGTCATTCAGCTTGAGATGGCCAGACAACTAAGCAAAGCAAGGGCTGCCAAAGCTCAGGAGTTTTAAATGCCAGAGGTCTGCTGTTATTCTGGTCCCCAAAAAAGTCAGGATTGGCTTCAGGACAAAAGAAGGAACTAAGGTAAGAAAGTAACAGTTTTTCCTTTTCTCCCCAAAGATAATGAAAGAAACCGTCACCTCAGGATGCAGGGCCATTTCAACAGCCCATGGGCTGACACACTTGTTCAGAACTGATTAACTCTTTTTAAACTGAGATGGCAGCAGGGTGTGTGCATGGTACTTCAATCTGCTGGGAGTGAAACCCATTAGCACAGTTTGAAAAACATGCTCCAAATTGTTCTGCCAATCAAATTAAGTCATGTAAGTCATTTATGACGAGAGGAAATTCACTGACTCTTTATCTGTTTAGTAAGCTATAGACGGAAAAACGGAAGAGTAATAAGTTACTATGTAAAAATCTTAATATGCATTGACACCTACCTGGCCATTGGCTAATATTTTTTTCAGTTCAGCAGATGACTTCTTTAAACTAAAAGAAGAAAACATAAGTTTCAGAAGCAAGATCATACCCACTTTTGAACATCATTGAAAATTTCAGATTAAAAAAACCCAATTAGATTTAGACATGGTCTATACGCTTTGTATTCTTCCAAAAATACCTGGCCAAATGGCAAAGGATTAGTAAAAAGACCTCATTTATAACTGAAAGCATAATCAAAACGAAGCTAGATTCTTCTAAGGACTACTTCAGGGACTTCTTTTTGGCTAGTTCTGCTGGCCTTTGGGTAGCCTTTCAGTGGCTATTTTATGTAGACTCTCTTTCATCTGCTAAGTACAAAATACTTAACAATGCATTCTTAGAATGTTCATCAGCAAAGAAGATCACAGAACTCAAAAGACAAAAGAGATAGGTTTAAGTGTTGATCATTCACTATTGTTAAGACTTCCAATTCAGAATCCCAGGAAGCAAATGCATAGTAGAAATAAATCCTGGTACTCGTTACTCATCTCAAAACTTCAATTTACCCATTCTATAAAATGGGGAAACTATCAGCTTTTTAACCAGCTTTACAATGTAACCAAGAAAATCAAATATTACAAAAAGCAGTAACATTATGTCTAGCACATAGTCGATGTTAAGTAAATTTGAACTGCCCTGTTTTTCCTTTCTTTCCTATATGAGACCCAGTTTCCAGAGTTTTTTTTAAGAATATGAAAATGCTTTTTTCTGGACATCTACAACTATGTATATATTTCTATTGATAAGTTCAGGGAAATTGGTCAAGGGAGGTTCTATAGTCCCAACTTTATAATTAAGTTATACCTATCCATATCCACCCATTTGGTAGTGTGGGAAATAAAATATCAGCTCCTCTAATTTAAAACTTGTTAATTCTAGTCTTTATCTACTCTAACCACTTAACAAATCAGCTCTCCTCCCTTGTGTCAGTTACATGTGTAGATGTCTTTCTTCCCACCCTTCCCCAAGTCTGGGAGCTCCCTGAGAACAAATACCATCTCTTATACACCTCTGATATATCCCAGTCCCTTCCTACCCTTGATCCTACCCCAAAGACTTGGCATGTGCTAAGTGTTCAATAAATGGTGGTCACAGTTCTGGTTGTTTTTACATGGTGGTAGCAAATATATACACACACTCATTTGGCACATTTAATAAGTCATATTCGAGAAAATCTCAGGCTTCAAGTTTAACCACTCAGTTATACTTACTCTTCTTTCTAAATATTTCTTATATTTGCTGTGATCAAATTAAGACTATGGAGCTTCAATCTTAAACCAAGGAGTCTAGACTTTAGCAACATCCTCCCAGTATAAGAACACAAGCACAAAGGCAGTTAAGAATTTTAAAGATTAGGACTAAAGACGAAACATAAGTTCTCCAAAAAGACAACTAACTGCCTAAAATCAGTCCAGCTTAAAAAAAAAAAAATCACAGCTACCACCATGTATGAGGCACTGTACTAAATGCTATTACTTATTATCCTGATTTAATCCTCACAGTAAGATAACCCTGTGGGGTTTTACTATTATTCCCAATTTATAAAGCAAACTAAGGTACAGACCTCGCTCAGAGTCAATATGTCTCTCTGTCTCTGTCTCTGTCTCTCTCTCTCTCTCACACACACACACACACACACACACACACACACTCTCCCTCCCCTAACCCTTCCCCCCCCCCCGGAAATATTTAGATCTTTTTATTCTCATAGATGATTCCTAATTTGATAGTTGTGATTATGATAAAAACAGAAATAACCAAATAATGCCCAGGCAATGTTTTGGCACAGACATACCAGTCAAGCAGGTTGAAATAATAACATTTGATTCACTGTATCTACAAAACACCTTTCATCCAAGAAATGTGATTCCTAACACCAGAGGCCGATAAAAGGAAAGTTTGTCAATCATCCTTATTCTATGAAGAGAAAGCCAAGATGTTTAGGAGAGGTCTTGGCTTGGCAGTGGGACTTTAATTCATTAATTATGGCTTAGGAACACCATAAGGATTAGTAAGCTCAGCTTAACAAAGTCATTCACCTAAGGCAAAGACCAAATCATATTTTGAGAGTAACAGAGGAAAAAGGTGATTTCATCCATTATGCAAATATCTGGCTACAAACTTGGTCTGGTAAAAAATATTCCGTATCCTGGCAATTACTCTGTGCCTCAGTTTACTCAATATTTTATTTATCTGTATGTTCACAATGATTTGAGCTATCCAAAAATCACTTTTTAAAACATTGTAAAACTAAAATGTGGTTTTATTTTGTTATCTGGGCCTGATACTTTAAGAGGGACATTGAGGTACCTGAAGAAGAGTAAAAGGGAGAGGGGACTAGGGCATTCCTGGTGGCGCAAGGGGTTAAACACAGCACTATGAAGCTATCCACAGCCACTGCAGCATGAGTTCGATCCCCGGCTGGCCAGGGAGCTGACCCACATGGTGCAGCAGACCTCTCCTGACTTGCCCGCTGCTTCCCCTCAGCAGTGTATTTCATTAGATCCGCCTGTTCTGTTCCCCACTGTCTCCAGTGAATCCTCTCACCCACCCCCCCACACCTCTGGTCTGTATCCCAGTTCTTGTATGCATAAATATTTTTAGTATATGTGCTGCCAAAGCGAGCACTTGTATGCATAAATAAATAAATCTTTAAAAAACCAAAAAAGGGTGAGGGGACTAGAAGACTAGAAGTTCAATAGTATCAAAAAGCTGGTTGAAGGGAGAATTTGACCTGGAGACAATACTTAAATAGTGAGTTCGTTCATTCAAGCATTATTGACTATCTCTTATGTGCCAAGCATCATGCTGGGAATTGGGAATACAGTAATGAATATGCTGTAGTCACTGCACTTAAGGAGTACAGAATCTATTGGGGACAGAGGTGATTATAATACAATGTGCTAAGAGCTATAGAAAAAGCAAGCACAGAGGGATTACGGAAATTGGTAAATGGGTACCTGGTGAGACTGGAAGGTAGGTAATCATCAGAGACATTTTCAGAAGAAGAGAACAGCTTTGTTTTCAGAAGACGAGAACAGCTTTATTCCTCAAAGATAACTAAGGTCAACCAAACTGAAGGTGAAGGAGGGGAATGAAAGAGGGAGGAGGAAAGAGGCAGCAGCAGATGTGAAGGCTCAGTAATGAGAGGAAATGTGGTCCTCTAAAGGCACCCTCTGTTTATCAGCAAAGCTGGGCTGTCAGGGAGGTAGGGGCAGAGTGGCACACCAGGGGCTGGAAAAGGCAAAGGTGCCACATGTGAAAGGGCATCACTCACCTGAGAAGGTTACACATCATCCTGAACACTGTGAAGAACAGTGATGGGCTGGAAGGGGGAATGATGTGGAGAAGGGACGGCAATGGAGCAAGACTGAAAGAGGAAATAGGAAATGTAGCAGTGACCTAGAGCATCTGAACTACCTTACAGAACCAGGGATGCTGGCACGTAGACCAACTGCAGTGATTGAGAACCTACAAATTTGGGGGACTGATCGAATGTGGGGCTGAGGGGGACCTAGGAAGCAGCAAAGAATGATGGGTCATCTGGAGTTAGCAACTTGGTGAATGTGGGAGAATTTACTGAGACAAGAAATCTACAAGTATGTTTGGAGGGAAGATGATTAGAGAATTATCACCTAGAAGAGGGCCTGTTTTGAAGGTTAAACTAAATCTTAACAATTAGGTGCTAAAGGGAGATAAAGATTAGCTCCTGAAAAAGAATATTCTAAGACACAGCTAAATGAAAATGAAGGGGTTACTTTGGCAATAGGTGCATTCCTGCCACAGAAATGTTCAGAAAGAGTCTAGATGACCAGCTGGCAGGAACTGGAGTTTAGACTTGTGTTTTTCTTATGTACTCGCCATACCACAGTTAGAGAGTCTTAAAAACACAGAGCTGCCATGCACTCTCTTACTGATCAAATGACTTGAAACACGGAGAGAAAATCACCCCACAGGCCTGGAGATCTGGCTCCTATTTTGCTATCACTTCTATTACCCTCCTTCTTACTCTCCATCCTGACCCTCAACCCACACCCTCCCTGTGTTCCTGACAAACTGGCCCATCTACAAACACACTGAGCTTCTTTTCCACTTCAGGGCCTTTACTTATGCTCTTCCCTCCATCAGAAATGACCTCTCTGGCTTTTGCCATTAGGTAAGATCCTTCTCATACTTCAGGCACAGGTGGAATGTTACTCTTCTTTGCACACCTCGTCTAAATCTAAAAGTATTTCTGCCCAATGTTTTCTCTCTTCAAAACCTAATTGTTTTCTTCATAATACTAATTGTAAAGTATAATTTTTTGTATGTTTGTTGTTGGGGATTTTGTCTGTATGCCTACTAGATAGCAAGCTCCAAGGGTAAGGATCAGATTATATTCCTAGTGTGCAGGAGAGCAACCTAATGAACAGAAGGTACTCAATGGATACTTTTTTTTTTTTTTTTTTTTTTTTTTTGCCAATAGATCATGTGGGTTTATTTGGTGACAGGTGCTTTATGAAAATCACCTCAGTTATCCTTTTTTTTTTTTTTATTAAATAATAAATTTTATTGTTATATTCCCCATACAATTGCAGCCCCCCCATTCTGACCCCAATCCCTCCCCTCCCGCCCCTGCCCCCCTAAAAGTGTCTCTGGTTCATAGTTTTTTGTTGATTTTGATTTTCACTTTCTTATAGTTATTCTCAATGAATACTTTTGATTAGTTATCATCTTGGGGCACAGAACATGGCCAACCTAGGGTGGCATATTAAAATCACCTATAGAACTTTTTCAAATTGTACTTTGCCCATAACAGAAAGCATTACTGGAGCAAACTACTGACACTACTTGGGAGGCTGTGACATCCCTAAGGAAGATCTGTAAAAGGCCAGGGATCACTAGATCAGGCAACCTCTGACTTTCTGTCCATCCTCAGATTTCATAATACTCCGTGACTATACATAATTTTTTAAAAACCACGTTGTTATGTGTGAATCCAAATCTGAGAGAAGTGAAAAGTTATCTTGCTTCTTCTGTCTTACCATCCTTTTCATTTTTATCACACTTTTAAAACTGATGAAATCTGAACCAGAGCACCAGGGAAAGTCCTTGTTTTTCCTCAAACTCATGGTCAGTCTGTTGAAAATCTTTTCTGGAAGTAGTTGTAATTATTAAATATCCTGCTTTCTTTGAGCTAAGCGCAACAAGTGGCCCTCAGCCTTCTTGCTTGTAGTCTGTTGGGCCCTGGCTCACACATATACAACAATGTGTGCAACAAGAGAGAAGCCACAAAGTACCTCCTGGCAGGGTCACACCTTGGATGAGAATTAAAAGACCTATCCCTTGTGACTACAAGGCAGATAACCCATTTGCAAATAACCAGGCTACCATATTTTAAGACAGAGTAAACTGTTTAAGAAGGAAGCACACACTAAGAGAGGCACGTGCACAGCAGAAAAGCTGATGGATATATATACCAACACTATAATAAAGGAAGTGAGGGTGGGGAAGGGTCTGGAGAGTAAAGAGAGAATCAGAGGAAGAGACTTTGAACTATCTCCAGTTAAGTCCCTTGGGTAAAGAACCAAGACTCTGGGTTAAGTGGGGACAGAGAGGTATAAAAGGCAAAACAGAACCCCAAATCACATTACAGTTAATAAAGGGCTATGCAAATATTATTAGGTACAGTTTCAAACTAAAAACAAACAAATGGAAAACAACCCCAAATGGGATACAGAATGAAGGTGTTCTCTCTCAGCCACCAACATGAGTATCTACACAAAGATGATTTGCCTTCACAGGGTCATCATGAAGTACAATATATAACGTTTGCTGGCTTAATGATGTTACACTAAATGTACAACCAAAACCCTATCAGCTCAAGCAGGTCCCTCCTTCTACTTGAGGACCATAATAATCTAGAAGAAAGTTCTCAGAGCTGACAGAACTCTGAAGATTCAGGTCTTTAGTATCCAGCACAGTGTAGACCAATATTAGCATGGACTCATAAAGTTATCTTCCTTCTATAATAGCTTCAATCTCCTGTACATTTAAATTTCATCACTTCAGTCTTTCCTTGCCTCTTTCTGGTGAAGATGTCAGTAGATAATGACACTGCCATAAGATGGACAAGCAAGAAAAAATAGCATTATGCAACTTATAGGCCAGATTAACCAAGACATAAAAATAGGCAAAGACATTCAATTGTCTGCATAATTTGGAGATTGAAGGAAAACTGGTCAAAAGTCTTCTTAGCCACATACACTTTTTTTTGGCCATATAGCAAAAAGATGTCATCTCAAAGTCCTCTTCCCTGCCCCACTCCCAACTTTGTAGATAATCATAATCTTATACATTTCACTTGCTTGCTCTCACCTATTGCTGGGAAGAGAATCCGAGACTACTGGGCTGCTGTGTTGAGAGGGTCCAGCCCGGGTATTCACCTACAAGAAAGAATCTTGATCAGTTTGTATTCTGAGGACACATTTCTAATTAACCTATAATTTGCCACAAATTTCTCATTTTCCTATGAAGGTTAATTAGTTTGTTGCTAGACAGATCCACAGTTGGAGTCTATTCAGTATATAGGTTATAGAATTGTACAACCAGTATATTACATAATACTCTGTCCCTGCCATTATTTAAATACTTAAATAGTGCTGAAAAAAAGAAAGCTAAACCAGAAATTTCAATTCACTGTCTAGAAATGAATTCAACTCTAGAAAGAAAAACTCAGTTTACTCTTCTGTCTTGCTTCATGCACAAAAATAAAATGTTCAAAAAATATATATTAAGAACCTATCCAGGGATTAATAGTGACCCTCAAGTTGTCATATGCTTCCAGCTCTACAACCAAGCAGAACACTGTAGAATGTTTCTTATTCACTGAAAACCGAGGCCCAAGTAATTAATTATAAAATGCTTGAGTATAATACAATAGCCAGCTTTTCTTTCAAATTTTCTGCCTTAAGCAGAAACACAGAATTCAAAAGATGCAGAACAATGAAAGGACATTAAATAGATATATGTTTCTAGCATAAATATGTCAAAAGAAGAGGGGGGTATTCTGTGTGCAATATGCTTATGTGCTTAATTAATCACTGAAATGAAGTCTGTTTTTTCACTCAAATAAATCTTTGTGGAGCCCAATATCCAGGATCATCCTAAAGAAATGCAACCTACAAAACAACTCCAAATAACAAAATGTGGCACCAAAACCCTTGTATATATAGCCATATTGAGCAAATATTATAGGCGAATCCCCCCTCCACCTCCCACTACAAAAAAAAAAAAAAAAAAGGATCGCTTGTCAGAGCTTGAGAAAGTGCAGTTTTATTTGACATTTCAATAAGTGGAACACAGCATTACAAATCCATCTAACTTTACTGAAACAATTATTGAAATTCGTACCTTCAGGCCATGTATGTTCCGTTCCCCAGGAGGCTTGCAGGCTGAAACAGTAATTGACTAAATTGTAGAACACATCAGGGCCATTTACAAATTTGCTCAAAATGAATCGTTTAAAAAGAAATGAGGGTGACACCAAAATTAGCAGAGAGAAATGATTGAAAAGTGGCTCCCAAGACCCAAAGTGGGAATTATGAACCAGGGTTCTTAACTTGCAGGAGTGAGCATTTATAAATGCAAAGAGCTTTCTGACACCACCTCACATAAATTCCAATTTCTTCTTAAAACATATAAAAATCAAGTTAACTGAACTAAAATGATTAGAGATCTTTCATATTTCAAATTTCTGCAATCTTTCCTCACTCTATTACATCGTGTACTGTTACCACTTAAGCGATTTTGAAAATAGCTAGGGATTGAGGGTGGATGGGTGAAAGAAAGGATAACTTTTAATGCCAAAAAGATTATTAGAGATTCCAAGTTTGAATACTAATTTGCACAGCAATAAGCAGTCAAATTTATTAAATATAGAGATATTACTAATTTTATTGTATTTCCTGTAAATCTTGACATCTGATATTTAAGTGAAATAAGGACAAAACAATGCCAAGAAAAATAGCATTAATTTCCCAACACCATCTTGAGTTACAGGTTAGTACATTTTAAATTCAGCAAATGCTTTTTCATCAAATGTTAAAAGCACAAAAGCTTCCTGCCCATGTTATAGGCTGCTTCCATCTGAAAACTACAGTGCCCTACATATTGTATGTTAAGGGGCCGTCAATTTTGATTGATTGTTAGGGGAAGGATGAATTTGATTTTTTTTTTTTTTTTTGCTCCTCTCTCAGAAGTACATGTATTTTTTCCTGTTTCTGACAACAAGATGTAGAGGTGTTTAATAATAAGATGTGGGTAATAATTACAAAGCACATCAGCTGCTTTAATGTTACATATTTCAAATATATTCATATTTATTATGATTTTCCTAGCAAATATAGCTAAACCTTAATCAAGTATTTTTGGTTTTCTAAAGTACATTAGAACTAAGACTCCAAATTTTCTTTCTTTGAAATGGAAATTAACTTTTTGAACAAAACAACAGTCACATACATTTGATGCTTGGTCCTTGAGTGACCAATAATACTTCCTAAAACAACACTTTTGAGTACTTTCACTGAATTACCCATTGCTCTTATAAACTTTTCTTAATAAGAAAATGGCTAACTAAGGAATTAGAGACAGGCATGAGCTCTTATCTTACTGTAATATCTGTCTTATTCCTCAATTGGTTTCTCAACCCATGATTGGAAATTAAACAGTAGTCAAACAACCCAATAGCTCATATTTTCCAAAGTTATGGAATCAGAAGTTACTACAATGTTAGTAAGTTTTCGTATTTATTAATATTCAACATATCTTTTAACTATAGAGAGGATTTGGTCATGAGCTAGGAGTTGCTATTCATGGCAATTGTACTAGGAATGAAAGAGAGTTTCTGATGTTAAGAATAGAATCATTTTTTCCTGTCCTCACTTTACAAACTAGAGAGTCTTCATAACATGAACCTTAACCATAGAATCTAAGGTATGGGAGTCTCTAGCCAAGTAGGTAGACCCAAGCAATATGCTCAATATACCTATACCCAAGTTTTATAAACTTGCATAGTCTCCCTCTCTACATAAGATATAGTTCAATAATCAAAAAGACTGTAAAAAACTATAAAAAGTTGTGCAACAGCATACAAAAAGTTCATAGAGATAGGAAGACTGAGTCTCATCTTTTCAAGAAATTAAATTTGACTTGGAAGAACAATATTTAATAATATATTGGAATGCACTGGGTTCTGTGCTAGGACTACATATTGACGATCACATCTCACATATCTTCTTTTAAGTATCTTCACCCTATAATACATACTTCTCCACACTTGTACCAAGCCCTCCAAACTATCCCCATGTATCCTCCACTAACATTTTAACTTATATGCCTTCAACATTAAGCAAATTCAATTTAAACAAAATTCTCACTCACAATATATTACCTACTTAAAAGCTGTGCAACTCTGAAGTTACTTAGCCTTTCTGAACCTCAATATTCTCATCTATAAAATGGAAACAATAATACTTAATATATTAAAATTAGGATTAATTTTTATTAGAGTTAGAATAGAATCAGTGCCTGAACAGAGCACATATGTCAAAATGGTGGTTGTTATCATGCACGAGATGGAGCACAATGGAATGGGCAGGGAGACGGACAGGAATGACTCACAGAATTAGAGAATAGGAACAGAATTTGAAAGTATTGTGGATGAAGAGAAGTAAGTAATTTTATTGAGAAAAACCCCCCAAAGAATTGGAATTACAATTCCCTGAGACACTGTACTAGAGATTCCTCTAACAACACTGCCATAATGTCATCAAGCAGGAAAAAGCAATTAATGAACATTTTCAGCTGGTAACAATTATCTCTTGTGGAGAAATAATTTTGAAACTTGCCCCAATTCTCCAATCACTGAAAATATTAAGAAACAAGTTGCATCCTTGTTATTGGTCTAATACACGGAAATGGCAACATTCTTTTCATTTTTGTTTTAGTTTTCAAGTGCAACAGAATTGGATGATAATTCTTGTTTCAGACAAACTAACAATGACCTAATTTTATTTACTTACTTAGCTCTTTAGTAAGCTATTATTAATAGCCTGCCAAGTACTCCCAACCTCACTACCACCTTAGTGCTAAAAGAACAGCATTACTCTTGAATCCAGATCTTCTGGGTTGGTCAAGCCAGCTGCTTTTTAGAGACTTTATCAGTGCAAATGAGAATTTACTGGCTAATTGAGCCACTCAGACTTCAGAGAGTTACAGTTAATGAAAGTCTAGAATGTTTAATTGGAAAACTCACACTATGATTATTTGTACAATATCAGTTAACAAAGGTAAGTTTAACTTTTAATTATTTCAATTAAGTTATTTCTAAGAGAGTTACTTAGAGAATTTCCTTATCTGTTCCATCAGTTAGAAAATATGGATTCCAAATGGGGAAATGTGAAATGAGTGAAAGACTTAATGTTTTATATAATTAAACTGTACTTTTCCACCACTATTCAAAAAAACTTTTTTTACAGAAAGACAAGAGATTTATTGACAGATAAGAGGAAGGACAGAAAAGCTCTCTGAACAGAGAAGGGTCCCGAGTGGGTAGCCCCATTATTCAAATTTTGAAGGAATACTTATATAAAGTTGAACAATCACATCTGAAACAAGACTAGTACTGTCAAACCTACAAGAGGAAAACAATTATTTGACCAGGCAACTCATGAAGTCTCACTCTTGTCAGCTCATATTTTGGTGATTTTTACCATCAAATCCCCATTTATGAGGACTTTTCCATTACATAGAAATGTTTTCCCAAAAGAGAAAACACCAAACATTCTACCCAAATATCTTTCTCTTAAAACTTCTCAGTAAATCTTAGCCTCTGTCCTATTTGAAAGTTTCTCCCCCATAGCAGCATGCGCTACCATCAGGAGCCAAAGTTTATAAACACCCAAAATTAAAGTCATTCATTTGCCTTGGGTTAGAATCCATGTGGACCCCCAAAGAATTCTTTAAGCGAATGTAAGTATGTACTTCAAAAAAAAAAAAAACAATCTAGTTAGTTTAATTTACTCTAGTAAATGAGATATTTTATCTGCCATAACTGTAATAGAGCCTGCAATCCCCACGATAATGAATACTTCTTTTGTTTTTTCAAATTAAGAGCTAAACATCATGTTATGTGCATTTAAACCTTTGGAAAACATAACTGTTGATGAAACAGCTTACTGAAATAATCATTGTTGATTAGAATTTGTTCAACATTACCTCTTGGAAATATCTGCAGAGGCTCTATTAACTGTCCATTTACTTGCTGTTCCATTACTGTGGAATAATACTGCAAAGAGATTATAGAAAGAGATTACTCAGTAATATATGAATACTGGAACAGACACTTATGGGTTGTTTAATTCATGGTACTTTTGTAAACTGCTGGTACATACATATCAGCCTTGAGAATACTTTTTCCCTATTTGCACATCAAAATGGCTATAGTGAATATTCAGAATAGAAAGTCCAATGCTGAGTTTCCTCCACATGGTCATTTATCTTTAAAAGTAAAAAATGTTGGTTAAGACTTTAGATTAGTATTTAATCTCTAGAAATGTTTTGGAAATGATAGGTATTAAAAATAACAACAAAAAAGCATTTATTTAATATCTTTTTATTACTTTCTTCAGTCTATAGAGTTTCGTTTGTTTGTTTTTAATTGAGGTAACAATGGTTTACAAAAAGCATTTTAGCAGAAATTTCTCAACTTGTCTCTTGTACTTTTTCCCTGAATCTGCAAAGAAAAATGAAGACACCTCACATTTGGCCTAGACCTACCCATATACCAGTTAATCAAACATTATTTGGGTATAAAATGCACAGATTAGATCTAAATTCTAGGGACTGTAAAATGAGCAAACAAAATATGATTCACCCAAAGATGACACTATTTACAAAGTAGCCCAATTTTAAGCAAGCATACCTTTGATGTTTTAGTCTTAAAAACACTTTAGTAAATATATCAAATTTCACTTTAATATTCTGTGCACAAAAAATAAACTTTTGAGTGAAAAATTTTTTCCACATTCTTTCATTAATTCATTCAGTAGGTTGTATTTTCATGATTCCCATTTCCCTTATGTGCCAATCAATAAGCATTTGCCCACCTAACTTGGAGATGGCTTCAGTGCCTTTGCTTCTTTTAACACCTGACCGACAATGAAATGATGGTCCTGATAGGAAAGTATCAACCAAAAAAACTGCTGATTTTGTTTGAAGGGCTATCACAGAACAGAACTTGGTATTTCTGTACTAAAAACAAATGCTTATTACTTAATTTCCAGGAAATTCCTCCTTGATAATCATTGTTTGCTGATAATCTTAAAAGTTTCTTTTGGGCCTCCCCGGTGGCGCAGCGGTTGAGCGCTGGGTTGCGAAGCTGCCCTTGGCCTCTGCGGCGCCGGTTCGATCCCCGGCTGCTCCCCGGCCACCAGAGGAGGGTCCCACATGGCGCGCAGACCTCTCCTGCCGCCCGCTGCTCCCCTCAGCAGTGTACTTTGGTCCTTCTGCCTGCTCTGCTCCCCGCTCTGGCTCTGGTGAATTCTCTCACCCTCCCGTGCTTCTGACTGTACCCAATGCATGTATAAGCAAACAAACAAATAAATAAATACATAAATAAATAAAAATGCATGCCTCTTTTAAAAAAAAAAAAAGTTTCTTTTTACAAGATATATATGTCCCCCTATTCCATTTATGTACATTAAGGTTATTATAATTGTTTTTCTTCAAAAATAAGGGGGAGGGCTATAAAATGTTACATCATCTTGGAAATCACTAGTTAACAAATCTAAAGTTCTTTGGCCTAAAAAACAAAGTGAAAGCAGATTTTTGATACCTATGAATTAATGTAAGTGTACCCTGTACTCCAAGGACTTTCAAACTGTAAAGGAAACCAATCCTTTCTTTCTATGGATATAAAAATGGTGTGTGTGTACGTATATATGTATATGTGTGATGTGTGTGTGTGCATATATATATACATACACACATATATTATACACATATATATATCAGCAAAAACACGTGCAACACACTCTTTGGAATACATACTAAGGCAAATGTCTTTCAGGAGACTATAGTCCTTAAAACCACAGAAATATAGCACCCGCCATTATTCAAACAGTGATGACAAGTAAATGAAATATCAATCATGTAGGCTGTCAACCTTTTGGGACAGCAATAACTGTTAACAAGTAGTCTGGAAAAATTGTTCGAAAATGACTTGTCCTCAGCACACAAGTATTTGAGGTTTCCATGGAAAATTAAGATGCCAGTGGCTATTTGGAACATTGCTCAGGTATTCTTTTTAATGGAAAATTTGCCGGTTATTGATCCACAGCATGTACCCCCTTGCTTCTGGAAGGCTGCAAGCAACTTTCCAATCAGTGGCTGTCAAAAAAATTACTGCCTTTTTATACTGATACAAGACAACAGCAGTGGTGGTGTTCTCCTATAGTTAATGCTTTTCTTTAATTAACTGCTACATACAATAGGTTAGTAATTCCAGCTACTACTCCACCCTAGTGCCAGAAATCAAAACAAATAAAATATCCTTATGCTTTATCTAACAAATTAATTATAGAGTTGTCTGAAATGGCACTTGGGGTCAAGTTTGAAAACAAATAACCTCAAATGTAAAGGGTCAGAACAGGTGCAATGCATTTTTTTTCTACTATAAAACCTTGCATGCATGAAATTGACCTGTTTTCTAACTTTATTTATTTACCCCACAAAATAAGTAAAAATGGTTTCACTTCAGATCCGTGCCAAATCAACTGGCAAGCTATATAAACAAATAATGATTGTGAGTATTTTTTAGCAATCTATAAACATCTCTTTGTACTATGACTAACACAGTCACAGTATTGATACTTAGTATGCCACTTGCCAGTTATCAGCTTCTCTAAAGCAAGTAGTTAGGATCAGTTTTTTATTTTCTACAATTCTACCAAATCCAAGGAATGTTTTCTTCTGCTAAAATACTAGATGTGATCTGTATTTTTATTAACAGGGAAACTTGTGTTCCATAAAGCAAAGTAATTCACCATCAAAGACAAGCTATAAGGGACAGTAATTAAGACCATGCGTAGGCCAACTCTAAGCAATTGACCTCTGAGAAGCAGCCCTGGTGAGGCCGAAGGGGCTGCTAAGGAAGCAGCAGGTCTAGGAGCTCAGGCCACTGTTTATATAGCATTCCCTCAGAGACAAGGATAAAATGCAGGGCCACAAGTAGTGTCTCCTAGGATAGAGGGGTGCCGATGAGCCACAAGGTCTGCCTTGCCCAGTGAGATGAGCAAGGTGCTCAGGAGTCAGAGAACTCAAACCCAGGAGTCTCAGCAGTGGTGGTTGCTAGAACATGCCCTTAGTGAGGAAATACTGTTTCTTCCAGGTACTCATTTCTGAAATGAAGATGGTATCCACCCACAGGATTACTGTGAGACTCATATGAGAAAACAGGAAAGCACTTAATAAACTGGAAAACAAATTATTTTTAGATCCTGATCCTCGGTGTTTCATATATTCTCCTTTAAAGGGATTTGTTTTCATTTTGTTCTAAACAGAGATAAAACATGCAATGATGACAGATATAAGACTTCTTACCTGACCAAAAAAAAAATGAAAAAAACAATCAAACAAAAACCTAAACCTGTATGCCAAGATACTCAAGGTGGTTTGGACAGAAAAGTAACAAAATGACCAGTGTAACATTAATGGAGCCTTAATTTCTTAGCTGAATCACTATTCTGGGCTTTTATTACCTCTCACACAAAGCCTTGCACATAGTGGGTGTTGAATAAATATTTGCTCATTGAAATGAGATTCAATTCTGATTCTGCTGCTTACGAACTTCAAGAAGTCATTTAACCTCACTGAACCTCAATTTCCTCAGAATGAGAATAAAGCTATCTACTGTACTGCAAAGAGTTACTGTGACGCTCAAAATTAAACTGCAATAGAATTAGTGAAGACACTCTATAGATTGTAATGCTGAGAAACTGTAAAGAGAACCTCCTAATACTAAAACAGTATTAAGCACAGCACTTCCTGAGTTGAAGCATCCCAACATTTAAAAATAAAAAAAAGGGTATGTATAAAAAGTACAAAGTATTGAACTTAAACTGAATAACCAGCAGCAGTTATAAATTCTATTGGTATCCCTTGCAGAATCTGCAACATGCAGTAATTGCAGCAATAATCAATAAGCTAACTAAGTGAAAGATTAATCAGTTTTGTGATTGCTAATGGAATCTCCAGTACCTGACTCGGATTAGTTTCAAAGTCCCGCTGAGATGTTCTTCAAAATCTTTAAGCAATTTTAATAAGGATGTGACAAAGTTTAGCATACTTATCCAAAAATCTAATTAATTTGAAACAGAGGGTCAGATTCAACAAGAGGATAGCAAGTACAATTTTTGGCTTTGTTCTATTTGCAAGTTTATCAAAGAGTGCTCCTATTTGTTATGAACCTAATTCTAATTCTAACAACACAATTCAATCAATAATTACAACACTTTTTCTTTATGGAAATCTGCCATATACAAAAATGTGAATTCCAAAACTGCACAGCTTAATTTTATAAGGCATAAGTTCTCTACTAAAAAGAGACAAGAGGCAGAGAGTGAGACACACACAGAGAAACAAGTATCCTCACCAAATACCTACGACATGTTAGACTCAGTATTATATATTTATATTTAATCAATTAATTTCTCACAAATCTTTCCTATTCTGGGAATATCAGTACCCCTATTTCACAGACAAAGAAAAAGCTTTAGGTTTATGAGTGACATAAGAAAAATACTTCTATTCTAGTCCATACACCCAGAACTTGAAAGGTATGTTTACTACTTAAGAGTTAAAAGGTACGTTATCTCACATTTTTCATATCTCAAAACATTTAACCAAATAAATGGGACTATTGGGTACACTGCTGAGCTGGAGAGCCTTCCTTCTATATTCACATCTTGTGTGAGTTAGCTCATGTCACCTGCTATTTCACCAGCTGGGGAAGCAAAAGGCAGCAGGGTGCGATGCAAAGACAAGCTGTGCTGACTGGTGACCTCTCCTTCTTTCTGCAACAACCCTGTGATTTCCTCCTATCTCTCTAACCAATCTACTTAGTGTCCTCTAAGTGGTTCTCTCCTCTTCCTTTAAATGCTGGAGTTCCCCATGGTTTTTCATCAACCTTCCCTTTTTATTTTATACTCTCCTTGAGTTAACTTCAGCCAATTCAAAGGTTTCAATTACCAAAGGAGTCATTGAGACTAATTAGGAGCTGATGAATCA